TTGAAAATAATTTTTTTTATGAATGATATTATTAGGTATTCTAATTAAAGAATACTGATAAAAAACATTTGCGAACTGATCAATTTTTATGAAAAAATTGATACTATTTATTTAATAATTTATAACTAGAATAAACACATTTGATATGGAATATTTGCAAATTGATATGGACACATTTTAACGGAAAAACGATTACTATGAACTACCGTTAATTATTTCTTCGTAAGTAATAGATAATAAAGTTATTATATTGAAATATTGTTATTTTTGTTACATGTTTTATTTTAAAAGTTTTTGAAAAGTAAATGAAATGACCTTTAACATAAATAATAATAGTAATATTTATAAAAATAATATAAAAATAACTTTAAAAATATTATTTTGATAAATAGAATCTTAATTATCATTTTTGAAAAATTTTTATATCGATATATCGATATATTCTGTTCAAAATTGTAGTAAGTCATTATGTATGTACTTCAAAATTTAAAAAATTAAGTAAAAATTAAAAACCCAAAAGTATTAAAGTTAAAATATTAAAATAATACATAGAAGCATATAATTTAAGATTTCATTCGGGAATTTAAGAAACATTTTACTTTTAAGAAGTATTTTAATTTTTTTTTGTAAGTATTATATAAGTATAGGTAAGTAAATTATATACGTATATATGTAAAATAAAGAATACTGCATCAAAAGATATTACAAAAAAGAAAAAAATGTTTTATTGTATTATTATATGTATACTTAAAATAAATCCATTTTTTATTAATAAATAAAATTTCGTTTTTCAGAAACAAAAAGAGAGTAATATTTGTATATAGAGTTCATTATCGAGTTTTTTGTCAGTATGTGTATATAATATTTAATGAAATAATTTTAATAATTTTAATAAGTTAATATTCTTTTTCTGATTTTTAAATCGAATGGTACACCAATGATCCCTTCTTTTGCTTCGCATTGAAAATTGGAAAGTTCAATTTCTGAGTAGAACAGTAAAATCAGATTTCAATTGAAATCAATGATTGATGCATCATCGATGGAAAGAATATTTATATGTGACTAAGCAAAGGAGAGTTGATTGGATATATGTAATGATTAATTAATATTTTGATATGAATATCTGCGATAAATTTTGCATATCGTATATTTTGCATGAATAATTTTGCATGAATTTTCTTGCGAATCTGACACTTATCAATTCTTACATGTCTACATTGTTCAAATCTATTTGCAAATTGTTTTTATTCTCTATTGATGATATATATATGTCTAATTGAAATTAGGTAATCCCAATACCATAAGATAGAATCGATGAACAAGATAGGATGTTAGTATTATGAAAATTCTCATATAATACTGTTGATATTGCACGTTTTTAATTTTGGCAAACATTCGAAATTTTATATTATAATATACGTTAAAATTTTTATTTTACTATATACTTAAAATTCATATATTTTTTAATTGAATAAGTTTATAGAGATTTTATAGTTATTATATATAAGATTATTTAGATTTAAATATAACTTTTTTTTATTATTTTTTTTATATTTTATATTTTTTTTATTATTTTTAATTTTACTGAGATTAATTTATCTAAATTAATAATATTATTCCATTATTTATTTATTTTTTCATGAATAATAATGATAATAATGATTTTGAATGAAACAATTTTATTCAAAAAATTTTGTGTGATCTTTTTTTTTTAGTAATTTTTTAACTCTCTAACAAGTCTAACAAATCAAAATCTCTTAATTGCACGTATAGCATGTTCGTTTTAAATATATATACATATAATTATTTTTATAAATATCAAAAAATATGAAAAAATGTTTTGATAAAAGTTATATGCTTGAATCAAAAAAGTTGTATATCGAAAAACATCGATGATGATAAATTTGACTTCGCTATATTCAATCCAAACAAAACCACAGTATGCAATATATAATCTTTGGAAATTATAACTTAACAACAGGCTTAAGAAAAATATATATAAATAGTGCTTTGAAAATAGATTTAAAAAAATATATACATAAAATGAATAAATAATAAATAATTTTAAATAGACGCTTCGAAAACGTTCCATTTAAAAATTTAAATATGATTTTAAGAACAATTCAAGATTATCTCAAAGTCACTTATCATCACAATATATTTCTTGATATCATACAATTTTTATCTGAAATTTTGAAAAATAAAATAATTAAATAAATTAAAAACAAAAATCATGATTAACTAATTAAACAGTCAAATTAATTTAAATTTCACTTTTCAATATTCTCAATAATTTCTAATAGTTTAGATTTTTAGCAATAATTTATGAGCAAGTATAATTCTATTCTTTATTCTAAATTCTTAATAAGAGTTATTCGAAAAACTAAGATACAATAATAATTTCATAAATATTTGCGCATAAATGTCTTAAATTGATCACCAAAGATAATCAGAATTCTGATCCTCATTCACTGATAATATGATTCCGTGAAAATCTATTCTTGGAAATCGCCCTTTAATATTGGTTTTTTTCAGCTTTTCTTAGTTATATTATTATAATTTTAAAAAAATTATTGAAGAAAAAAATCAAGATTTGCTACAATTTTTTAAAAAATAAAAGTTTGATCAGAAATTCCAGAAGTTAAATTACATTCAATTCAAATCAATTTCAAAAGTCAAAGATTAAAAAAAATTCAATTCAAATTGCAATTAGAAACTGTAGAAACTAGAACTGTAGATTGTAATTACTCATTGTAAAAATCAGAAATCAGAAATTAGAAATTAGAAGTCAGTCATCACTTAAAACCAAAATTTAATCACAAAAATAATTGAAATTAATTATTTAAACTCATTCAAAAAACTCATTCATAAAATAATTATACAATTATATAACTATGAGAGATTCTTTGAAGGATTGTATTCAATTGAAACATCCGCGTTTTTTGTACAGTACAAAATCATACTTTGTTGGATTTTTATATTTCTGATATTTATAGAAATAATCGCGTCTATATGTTTAAAATGAATACACTATAATTAAATGACAATTGAAAAAAAAAAATAATTTAGAAATTTATTGAAATTTTAAAAAAATTTATTATTGTTTTAATGATTTATGATAAAGTTATAATTCCAAAATAGATTAATAAATATATATCTATTCGTAAAAAAAGATATATGTATATATTTTTTACATATTTAATATATAATATATAATATAAATTTAATAATTACGATACGGAGTTAATAATATTAAATCTATTAATGAATTAATATTTATAAAAAAAATATATTACAAAGAAGACATATTAATAAATTTCGATATACTAATACTATAGGTAGTTATATTTACCAAACTATTTCATAGTCATAATTTAAAAATTAC